AGAAGAGCATCAGGTCTCGACAGGGCTGCTTCAGCCTCCTCACTGAACTGGCTCACACTGTGCCTGGAGCCTTGGAGCAGCATATACCTGCTCTCATACCTGGTACACACACACACGCACACACCTGTGTACAGCTGTCTTTATGAGGGCACTCATCAACCATCACAGCTAAATGTCGAACTCCAACCCAAACCCCAACACCTAAACCTCTAAACCTGGTCCTAGCCTGAACCCTGAAACCAGGTCTGAACTCTGAGACAGTCCTTTGAAAGGGTGAGGACTGGACAACATGTCCTCACAGAGATGGTATCAAAGTAAAAGTTGTCAACACAACCATAGTAAGAAATGGACACACACTCACACTTCACATAAGAGCCTATGTTTTCTTGTTCTTTGGTCCTTGCTCACTAAAACCTCCTGGCATCCGTTTGTCTTTTCCTGCAGCTGCTTCCTTTTCTCTCCCCTCTTGCTGTCTACGTTCCTCTACATTTCCTCCATTTTTTATTCCTCTCCCCTTTGTCTTTCCTTCCTCCTCCCTCCAGGAATAGTCTTCTCCCTGACAGATAAGTCCACCTCCTCCACCTTGAGGATCGATTCTCTCTCCTTCTTCCACGTCCTCCTCCTCTCCCACCCTCCTCAAGCCTTTCAACCACACATGCAGGTTCTTTTAACCTCTTTTAATAGTTCACTTCTGGGTATGCATAGTGACTAAAAGTATGATACCTGTACACTGTTCTTTGAGAAACGTCCTGTTTTATTCAGTGGCTCAGTCAGCGTATTTAATCTCATCCTTCAACATTTGATTCATAAATCACAGGTCAGCTGTTACCATGAATGCTACAGCATTGACAATGGCCAAAATGCACCGTGCAACGTTACATTGAAATAGATAATGAAACTGAATTATGTAAATGTGAAAAACTCTTCACACCCTAAAACACAACCTTTGCTCTAGTTCTTTGTTGTGAAACAACAAAAGAAGCCACTTTATTAGCAGCATCTCAGTCGTCAGTAGAAACCTCCCCAGATGAAGATCCAACTGCCGTCTCCTCCTCTGGTTATCCAGCATTTTCTAATTCTGACCAAATAACTGATAAAAGCAGCTTTTGTTGATCTTGTAAAGACAGGTGATAAATCCCCATTCCCTTATTTGATTGTTCTTTGCTCCTTGGTGAATTGAGACCATCCCAAAGCTCTTATTCCTGCTCTGAGGAGCGAGGAGGTTGCTGGAGGAGCCACGAGCAAGGATACACGAAAGCATCCTTCACTAAACTCTTGTATGGACTGACACAGCCCGTTATCAGAACTGATTTAGTGATTGAAACATTCAGATGAAAGATCAGAGGAAAGGACGTCTCAGTTTAAATATGTTTCCTCAGTTCCTCTCTCCTGTCATCTCACATGCGCGGGATTAAGACACAAAAGATGCAAGTGAGGGAATGTGGATGCAGTCAGGAGACTTGGGATGAACCTATATACCTTCTCGTGACCTGTGCTATGGTGTCTGCAGGTGCTGCTGCCTCCGGTGGTGGCCTGTGTCGAAGACTCTTTCTACAAGATCACCTCGGAGGCTCTGCTGGTCACGCAGCAGCTGGTCAGAGTGATGAGGCCACAGGGACAGGGCGCCACAGTGGGAGGATTCGACCCCAGACCGTTTGTCAGAGAGGTGGACCGGGCTGTTCTCTCCTCTGGCCTGTGTGCTTTTAATTTGATGCGGGCTGATTTGCTTTGCTGTGCTTCACTGGTTACTGTTAATTATTAACTGTGTCTATAATAAGACTAGAGTTGTAAATGTTTTCATAGTTAGCCGTGCTGCTAGAGGCCCCAGCAGGTGATCAAGACCCACTGACACTGTTCATTCTGAATAATTAAACTGTTTCCCCAAGGTGTTTTCTGTAACAATGAAGAGGCTGAAGGCAACAGACATCGACCAGGAAGTGAAAGAGAGGGCCATTTCCTGTATGGGTCACCTGGTGTGTCACCTTGGCGACCACCTGGGGGCGGAGCTGCAAGGCATTTTGGCAATCTTTCTGGACAGGTTAAAGAATGAGATTACGAGACTGACGGCAGTGAGGACCATCACCCTGGTCGCTGCATCTCCAGTGAAGGTTCAGTCAGATTGTCTCCTGCCTTTTTACCATTTATGTAAAAAAAAAATACTGGAGACTGAGAAGTGACGGTATCCTCCCTCCCTCTGGTGCAGACTGACCTGTCATCCATCCTGTCTGAAGCTCTGTCTGTGCTGGGGTCTTTCTTGAGAAAGAACCAGCGGGTTCTGAAGCTCAGCACGCTGGCGTGTCTGACAGCGCTGGTCACACATCACACTGCTGGCATCAAACCTTCAGCTCTGGAGCCTGTGCTGGGTGAAGTCCCTTCTTTGGTGGATGAGAGTGACATGCAGCTGCCAGCATCAAACTGGCAGCCCTGGAGCCTGTGCTGGGTGAACTCCCCTCTCTGGTGGATGAGAAGGACATGCATGTATCGCAGGGAGGGGGGGGCG